GCGTTCAGGACGCTCGGGTGTGTAAGCTATCGAGCGACTAGGGATATCGATTAGCCAACGACAAAAGTTGAGCTTTAACTTGAAAGTGGAAAATATATCTAACTAAAACCATGCTATATACTCGTAATTTGAGTCCCATCCGTCCGTAGTGATTGACATTGTTTGCCGACTCCCGTTTTCACTAACGAGTAGTCGATTTCAACATTCGTTCACCGTTGTTTATTTAAAAGTCCATATTCCTATCCGCTGCTATAAAACACCATGTTCGGTAAGCGGACATTTTGTATGGGTACTTTCCTGTACGCGCCAATCATACGGTCTGCCTTCTTTTCTGTAGTTAACATAAACGTCTACTATAAGGGACTAATGTAAGTACGGGGCTGCACATATTCTCTGATTCTTCGAAAACGTGTTCAGTTCCGAGAGAAGAATTAGACCTTATTTGTTTTCTATTCGAACACAGTAGCTTTTGTGAACCTCACGTAACATTGGTGCTTAGAGTTCAGTTGCGTTTTATGAACTCTTTTCGTTTACTCATGCCAATTTCCTCATGTAACACCTTGAATACCATAAATCGGCCACATGTAGTTATTGCGATTAGTTGTGTTTGGGGTCATGTCATGTGTGGCACACGTGGACGGGCTGTTTAGCTGTCAGTCGTTGTGGTAACAATTCAAGACAACTAACCTGCGAATCTCTAAACATTTTGATTTTTCACGTAGCATACGCTGAAAGTTTTGAAAATGGCCTACCTGCCTGCCGCATCGGTCCTTCATCAAATAAAACGTATATTTGGAACGTTTTTCTCTTGTATACCCACTTGTTTTAATTTTGGATTAATCTTATCTTTTTATGTTGCAATAGATATCTCGTCTACCACGTCCAATAGCATGTTTAAAAAGTAAATTCGCCGTTTTCCAGCTAACTTTGTCTCTTAGATTCGACGAGAAAGAGAGTGTTTCCTCTGTCAATAATGCGAAGAATTCGGTGTCTAAAATGATAAGGAACAAGGTGTTCGATAACTTCGAACTGGGCAAGGACTATATTGAACAGATTCTTCCAAAAAAAGATGTACTTAAGTTGTTAAAATGGTAAGCATCGACGAAACTTATTACCGTATCTAGCCACGACCACATCGAATTGTATGCTGATCCCGCAGGCGAAGTGATCTTTTTCCGACAGCGTGAGGGGCCATTTGTTCCAACATTGAAGCTTCTCCACAAATGTAAGTTCACATACCTTTTCCTGGATTCATCGACTAATTTCGTAACGTAAGCTTAGTGGCTACTATCCCATTGAACTGATATTTTTGTAGTTTGGGACAAATAACTCCTATAGTGTGTTACAACTTTGGATTGTCATTTTGTCGTTACTCCCTTTTACCTTAGATCCATTCTTGTTGCCTCAACTGCAAGTTGATCGAGGCGCCATCCGGCATGTCCTTAACGGTTCCAACATAATGTGCCCCGGACTTACCTCCCCGGGAGCTAAGATGTGTGACGTTCCAAAGGGCACTGTTGTCAGCATTATGGCCGAGGGTAAACAGCATGCTCTCGCTGTTGGGATCACCACCCTCTCTTCAGCAGAAATGTACGTTTAAAAGTACTTTATATCTGTTTTTACTCCGGTCCACCTTATCTGTAACATCGTCTGTACAGACGACAGTCAGTTTTCTTGACCTCCGACTACCAGACCGTATTCATATACCGGAATACACGCACAGTTTGAGGAAACTAGGTTGCTCTGAATTGAAATATTCTCGTTAATCGACTAGACGACATAGAAGACCTCATCAGATGTACATGATTACTTTTGGTGGCTTATCTTTAATTTCCTATCTTAGTCAGACTAATACAAGGACGAACAAAGCTACATAGAATAATGAGGAAAAATAGGTTCCTTAAAATTAGCATATCGGAAGGTAAACACGAAATTCAATAGCATTTAAGGAGATTTAGTTGACCACATTAATCACTTAGCTGGGAATCTGCTCTCTTCCAGTAAATCTGGCTAACCTGTCACAGAGTTTTTGATGTAACAACTTCTAGGCATCTATTACGAAAACAGTATGCATAAACGTTTTTTTGGCTGGTCTGCGTCTCCAGATTGTGCACATTAACATCACCTAAACTGGTGCCACCTTCCTGTTCATTTTTGGGTGTTGGTCAGGAGAAAAGAACGGGGTCTTTGGACAAGAGTGTTCTTTTCCGGATGGCTAGTAAATTTGAGTCTGTCGGTCGGGATTTCTCATTACCGATTATACAATATGAAGCCGTGTCACTGAAACCACCTTACTCTTTAGTAAAGGACAAGGAAAAAATGTCATTGTGATGGTGGGGAGGACAACCGTTTTCGTGCTACCGCGGAATCCCTCAAGACCCCTTATTCTCACAAGCACTGGGTCTTCAACATGTTTTAGCAGCCTAACACAAATCTACAGTAGATCCTTATCCGTATAATACGAATCTTCGTTACATGAAGTAGGCGAAATCTGTCATACATAGTTAAGTGCTTAAACGCGTTTTATATTAGGGAAAACTACTTGAGTGAGACAATTATACTCAGCCACCCTCCGTAAAAAGTGAGTAGTTAAGTAGTATGCATTTTTCCATGAACTGTTGATATCCCTACGAATTCCAATATATTTTGTAGAAAATGCGCACAAAAATCTCAGTTTTTATATACATTTGGTAGGAAATCACGTGTCTAAATTTTAAACTCGAAGAGGAGGTAGTTTCTGATTTCTAATGATGCAATTTTTGAGACCATAAGACGTCCATAGAAACAGCATTGCACCTGTCTATTTATTAATTTTCCTTATAAAGCGTACAGCGTGGTCCACGTGCATTGCAAAATTTTATAAACGCTAGACAATATCTTTTAATAGCTGAATTGCCTTGCGTCGAAAGTGTAAAGCTTGTAGTCTAGAACCCCTAAATGAATATGCACCGGCAGGTAGAGTTACAAACGGTTCGGTGATTTAAAAAAGTTGAAGGTCATTCTTTCTTTGTGTGAACTTCAAAAAAGACATAATTTTCTACCAAGTCAATTAGCGGAATTTTTATGAATAGGTTATTTTAGATCCTTCTAAGCTTATCATTTTTATAAGATTATTTGCAATTCAACCTCATTGGAATCAGACTATTAGCTGACGTAACCTATTTCAATCTCTCTGGCTCCTACTCAGCCATGCTTGACCCATTTTTTTCAACTTTTAGTCTTGATATAAACAAGGACGTCGCTGTGGAGACCCTACATTACCTGAACGATGGTCTTTGGCAGATGAAGCCCGTGAGATGATCAATTGATGTGTCCATGGCCATACCTTATCTCAGGCGACATTCTGTTCTGTATTCCCCGCCCCTGTCTACTATGACGACATTTTGATGTAAAAACGGTGAAAATAAACAAATGTTTTTAGGAGACATTGACCTCTGTAATGCATGCCATTTTATGAATGCCACTAGGATCGTGTGGCACTTTAAAGCACTTTCATGGATGCTGCGCTCTTAATTTGCACTGGCAGCATATGCGCTTTTTATTAAATAAGCCTTTCGTAAATCGGTACATACCACTAAGCCAGAACACGGAGCCTACCCTTGGATATTGTCGGTGGTTATCTGTATTTATGGCCTATAGCATATCTTTCTGTCCATTCGGTTGACTCAATTGTGAAAAAAACTTCGGCCTCGGTTAGAGTCGAACCCACGCAGCAGAGAAGGCTTTTGCGCAGCCAACGCTCTACCATTGAACTACAAGGCTCACCGTGAGCCGTGAATTTAATCACACTTAGGTCGATTTGCTTGACCAACCTATTGATCGTATAGATGGATTTCCCAAGCAATCATCTGTGTTAGTTCGACCATCGAGAGCGATGATGTCCATCATTTGCCCGGGAGCAGGGACGAGTATTGTGGTCAGGTATAGTGAATGTAGACGCCCTGCCATCTACCCCACTCTAAACCCTCTCCCCGTTTGAAACTGTGACAAGACAAAGTTGAGGTCACAGAGCAGGGATCAGGCGTAAGCCGCTTTCTCCAGGTGCAGCCAGAAACATTTTCTAACTTAGTCTTTAGTGAGAGTGGACTTTGCGCGGGTACTACTGCACTATCTACCTTTACTCACCTATAGTAGGTGTCTAGCCAGACTGTAGGAAGCCTGGGCTGGCACTGCTATTACTACTACTGCTATTTCTAATACTACTAACTAGGATGTAGCTGAGTGATAGTATTTGCTGGTACTATTACTGACTGCATCGTAAGTCAGAAGTGACGCTGAGGCTCATATCCCCTCAGTCTCAATAAAAAGTGTAGTAGTACTGGTGCTAGCACCGGCGCCACCATTTGTCAGAGGTGATGCTGATAAAGCCAATGCTAGGGCTCATACCCCCTTGGTCTCAGCAAGGAGTCTGAATCTAGGTTTAAGCTATTTCGAGTAAGTACATGCTTGGGGTCCTGAGCCTTTGCCTTGGTTTCTACACTCTCAACTCTATCCGTCGAGTTTTATGGACTAAGAGACTGCTGCTATAGGTACGTGCCTATACTAAAAGTGCTAATTTCTATTACTCATGCTTGCTAAGGTCAGTAGATAGTATACTATAACTGCTGCCCGTGTGTGCTTTTTAAGAAGTCGTACCCAGTATGCACTCCCAATCTGTATGAGATA